ATATAATTGCAACGTTTACAGATAGTAATAATGATGCTACAACCGTTCAACGCTCAACTACAAGTATGCCAGTCAACGCATTTCAAAATATAATTAAAAAGAGGAGAATGAATGAGTTCGATGAAATGAAGGAACGGAATGAACGAAAGGTATGCTAAACGGGTAAAACGTTGTACATACTGTAAAACTGTACCATAATTGTATTGATATAATATGTGTCATTTTAGGAGCAACAAACGTGTCAATCGAAATTTGATTCGCATAAGGATAAAACTGGTAACAATATATTACTTTTATTTTATAGTCTGTCGTAAGTGAAATAATGATTATCGAAAATGCATACATTTTTATACAGATACTGCGTCCGGCGTAAGAGTTTGTTTAAGACTGCCAAATGGTACAAAGGAAACAATGCTAATGTCTGCCATGGACACTATACAAGTAAGTACAATTTTTACTTCTTACTAAATAAATAATGCATTTAATAATCGTAGATTTTGACAACACATCGATCGTTACTTTTTTTGTAGGATTTGATAGATAAATTGGAAAATATGGGTTATTTATCATCGGACCATACTTATTTAGTACCGTTTCCGAAAACAAACATCGGTGAACTTCCTCCACAAACGCATTTATCGGACACGATACTGTTTCCAGCTAACACAGTATTCATAACAAAGATATACTGATTCGTTTGTCGCTGCCAACATCTTCTATATGCTCATGATAATTATTGCACTTATCGCTTTACAGACATTAAAGAAAACCCTTGTTTAAGTATAAATTAGTGATATACGGTTTTATTATAGATTGTACGAAACTTTTTACAAAAAAAAAGTGATTCTCACCCGATCGTCCGGAAACATTTTTCTGTGATTCAGGCAACTTCCAACGTGAACGTTCAATATTCACTGCCAACACTGTTACAATTTGTTGTAAGAAGCAGTTGTCTAATGAAGGGACTGAATAAAAGTTGTCTGTCTACGTAAAGTTATACCACTCCTATGTTCTGTACAATGAAATAAAAAACAATCATGAAGAATTAAATGTAATAATGGATGACGTGTATTACATGAATTAGAAACATAAGCTTGTAAAATAAGTACTACCATTGATTGATCACAAACTTGTAATCTAAGATAGTGTTTTTTCTCAGTATAATGGTTATTAGGTGGGATTGAAGTGTTCA